CATTATTTTTCCATGTCTCAAAATTTCAACATCGGATGAAGACGTTAAATATATTATTGATATTTATTCTAACACATTTCAAAAAAAACAAAAAAACATTTAATTTAGGGAGTTTACAGTGATATATTAGTTTGCCATTATATACAATGCAAAGTTATATCCCATAATGCATTGCATATACGCCCAATAACCTGTTCAGTTGTGCATAGTTTATGCTTAAAATGCAAAAGAAAAAAGAATGTGTCGACTAGTTTAGAGTGTGCATGCTTATGTTTATATTAAAGCGGGAGGGTCGTCACCTGCGCACGCGCGGGAATTGAGTTCCAAACGATGATAACAACACACGCTAAAAACGCAAAGGCTCATGGGTAGACGCTTGTTTGTAAACAATGACACGCTATGGCCACCTGACGCATGCGCAGGTGACGACTCCCCCGCTTTAATTGTTCTAAATGTACGACGGATTGTGCTAAACGACTTTTCTACATGATAATATCTGCAAAAATATTCAGATTACGTCATCCGTGTTTTATACTAGGTAAACTGCTGACAATATCTCACTGTTCGAACACGTGTTCATTTCTGCACGACATTCCAATTGAGTAATGTTTATTTCCGGTTACTTAACGCGGGGGAGTCGTCACCTGCGCATGCGACTGACGGTCCTAGCGTCTCGTTGTTTACAAACAAGCGTCTACCCATGAGCCTTTGCGTATTTAGCGCGCGTTGTTATCGTTGCTTAGTGACGACCCCTCCGCTTTAATATATTGAATATTAAACTATTCCCAAAACAAACTACTGTGAACTAATTAAGAATTTTTTTTTGGTCGACGAGCAAGGTCAGCAAATCAGTTATTTTCTCATCGTTCTCATCCTGTGATTATCTTCAAAACACTGTATTAGTAAGTTGACAATAAATCAAATGATCATTCCTGGGAACGGATAATACCTATAATTTATCAAAAATCAGACTTAAGACTAATTTGTAATTGACTAATAAGAAACGAACCGACTGAAAGTGAAAACAATCATAATCGATTTATTTGAAATAAATCCGCCGAATCTCCGCTTTAGTAACCTCTTCCAATCAAATATTAAGTCATCAACTTAAAAGTATTTAAATTGCATTAGATTCAATTTATTGTTAATCAATTTCATTTCATTGCGTTTTAATTTTAGCTAGATAAATTCAATGTAGAGGGAACAACATGGCACGTTTGAACTTACTGAAATGAATCTTTATTTTCGTGTTAAAATATAACAATTACTAATAATGCTGCAGAATCGCAGTATTCTTATTATGGATTTGATCAACATAGTCGAATCAAATTGTAAAATCTTTATATTCTACCGCCCCTTTGAGAATACCAAAATAAATGTAAATACAAATCAAACAAAACCCCATTATACGTGCATTGCCCTACACCTGAATTCAGTTAACAATTGCTTTTCGTCTCATTAATTATTAAAGATATTTATCCCGTCTCTGTTTATTACATCTTCAACGAAAACTCAGGTATACTTCCGGTATACTTCTGAGATGGAAATTATTCTTATCATGATGATCCGCGATATTGTTAAAAAAAAAACTTATTCATAATCCCTGAATTTCAAAATTAATTTCATTTTCTAATATTTCCAACATACAACTACACATATTATTAAATATCTCGCAGATGTGGTAATAGACAAAGGACCAGAAACTATATGAAGATCGTTTCCTGCATTGATTAAGCAACTTCGCCGCTGAGGGCATCGTCATTTTAAATTTCAAAATGGAATATCGTTATTATAAGCTTCATATAACCATATATTCTCATAACAATGTTTAACCAAGTCACCCGCGCTTATAACGAATTTATTAAGTTCATTTTTGTATCGTTGTTACTAAAACTTATGTTTTGAAATACGTGACCTGAAACGCACTATAATAATAACAAAAGTTGCCCTTTTTTAAAAAGATAGAGTTAATTATTTTTTAATCAAATACATTATTGGTTAATATACAATACTGTATTTATAGTTATTATTGGCGCGTAATTTTCGGCATGTATGAATCCCTCGTGTTGGCATGGTTGGCCAGAATTGATGACATGTGTGTCACTAAGAAAAAATAGAAAACAGCGCATTGACTTGACGCTCTTCGTGTCAAAAATCCCCAACCTTCGTCAACCCATCATCAACGGAATCTGTTAAATACAACACTTGTTTCAAACAAATATATTATTGAATTCGACATACTGAAATGATCTGTAGTGATTTCTCGTGATTTGATTTATTAATGAATTATATTATCTCGTCCTTCAGTTATAAATCAATAACTGCCGAGGTTGTCAGTTGACTGTGACAATATACACCCTGATATATCTACTCGTCTCTATAGTACATATCAATATTGACACAAAGAAACAGAAGTTAATGTCTTGTGTATATTATTTATACAATTTACGTGAGTATAATCGCCCCACGTGATCTAGCTCCTCTGGCTGTAATTTGCATCCCACCCCGGCATACAAATCGCTTCTTGATAAGGTACAGCTATTTTTACGCTCCATAAACCTTTCAATTTTCTTGTCATGCGGACAAAAAAGGATGCGCGAAAGAGTTTCACGCTTCGCTAAATTTGCTCCAATCTCCGCCGTGAGAGGACAGGCGATCAGTTGCTTTTCGCGCATGACTTGTGAAACTACTTTATGGCCTCGTACCTCGTACACGCCGTATCCAGGACGACTCCCTGTCAAACATGCTGTCACAGCGCGGTGATGCCCACTGTTTGTGACACTGCGTCAAACGCCTTAAAAAGTAAATATCGAGTGACTGGGAGAAATGAGGCAAACGAAATCGACGCGAATTCGTGAATTGTCAATTTCACAACTATCCGCTAATAATGCAAATAAAATTATTGCCATAAACAGGATTAGTGTAAGAGACAATCGATATGGTTTTTGAAACGAGGATCAAGTTGATGAATTTGTAAATACATAATACTACTTGAATGGAGACCTCTCAGGCATACTCAAATCTAATATCCACAACGAAAATTTGTTTTTCACATTTGAGCAAACAACAAATTGACCCCATGCCCCTTCACCTTAACTCACTAGCAGACTTCGGTTTTTGCATCTGAGCGAACGTCACGAGCGATGAAACCAATTCTGTTAATATCATTAATATTTTGCAATGCTGGGTTCCGTCGCATGTACAATAATAAAAACTATGACAAGTTCATCTCGAGGACTTTTTTCCCTTTTTAGGTTAGTAAATTTTATTGATGTCGGCAGGTGGCTAAATTGTTGCCCGTCGTTTGTTAGTGACCGTCCCCCCTTTTTTTTATAGACGAACAAATCACAACTTTAAGTTTTCCTTATTTTCTATCACCTGATACCTCTTTCTACTGAGCACGATTAGTCGAAATAAATAAATAACCAAACAAACAAACAAAAAACAATAAATAAATAAATAAATAATTAAATAAATAAATAAATAAATAAAAAATAAATAAATAAACAAACTGAAATGATGTCTAGTGAGCATGTGAGTAATCTGTCGGTATATCATAAAGTATACTTGAAGCGTAATCCATACTTAAAAACATAACACTCGGCGCAAACTATAAGTTGTTAATTCTGTATAGTCGACACCTGACCGTAAAAGTGGAAGGGCTACGGGAATATTTATTACAAAATATTGTTTTCTATTACTCAGAATTGAAATAGACAATCTTATTGAAATATATCGTTAAACAGTTCCATTGTATATTACAGATGCGATTCGTTTGCTTTGAAGTGGATCGCTCATATACAACATTCAGCCTGTCTGTTCGGTGACATTCAAACCGTTGAACGAGAGACTGCGATGTACTTGTCCACGCTGCGATGAGTACAGAGTTGCCAATGAGTTCCACTTTGCATCTCTGCACGATTTCCACTGGGAGTATAAATGGAATTTTTTTTACGCATTTCATTGGATGCGTATGCATGTATTGATTGAAAAAAGGGGTTTATTTTGCGTCAAGTCACATGGATGTCATTCAAAGACTGCATATCAATAAGAAATCGGTAAGCCGTTTTCACAATCCTTTTTCACAAACCAAATTTGCAGTATGTGCAACTGCGGACGTCGCGACTCGTAATTGTACGAATGCGTCTATTATCATAGCCCAAAACGTGCACAATTAATTATTATTAAATGCAATATTAACTTATATTTACATTACTTGGGGGTAATGGAATATCGTTTACTGAATACAATGAAATCACGCCAACTCATTTTATTGGTGAATTGATAACATCAATACAGAGGTGTGAATTATTAATGATTTCCAGTTATGAATAAAATCGATCGATAGCAGTAGACAAAGAGATGGATATGAGTGTACCCCGGTCACCTCACCGTTCTTCGCCCGTATAAACTAGTAGTTGGCCCACTAGTCAGGTGGCGCGTTTCTATAAAAAGAATCCTCGGCGAATCGCAGTCAGAGAGTGATGTAACGGAGTTTTCGACGCAAGAACTCCGAGTTGCCCTCTATAAGCGACAACCTTCAATATATTTCCCCGATGGCTTCATGCTTGATAAAGTTATGTCATATTAGTTTATACCCCGATCTTAATAAGTCTACGTTGAAATAATCGGATCCCGTGTTTGTTGTTGTGTTGTATAGTTTGTCCTGCTTATGGTAACTGAAGCAAATGCCTTTGATCACAGCATTTTTTTTCAAGCATAAGTCTGAACAGGACCACAGTGGAAATGTTCAATACCTCCCACAGCATGTGGCCACTTGTTGTTTGGCGTAGAACTACGGATATAAACGCATTATATTTCTATAACAGTCTAGTATTTGCAGCATGAGCCACTTCAAACCACCAACAGTTATTTTTAGTGGAAACACGATCAACTCGCTTATTTTTAAAGTGTTTTAAAACACACTAATGTTTGCACGATTTACAGGAATTCGGAGCCTATGTGCACTCAGAAAATAATCACACTGTACAGCTTTGTTATACATGAAGAAATGTCGTATATCGTCATTTTATTGATAAAACATTCAGTAGTTGTTGTTTTTTTCTATACAAAGGTTTATAAATACATTCTATGTGTGTGGGTGTGTTACTACATTACACCGTGCAAACACATGAACCAACGCGTGTTAAATAGGGACAGACTTGGAAGGTAACAAACACATGGTATTTTTTTTCGTTATATGAGTTACTATAATTTGCACTGACGATTTTTTTTTATTAATTGTTATTCGCTTCCTTGACCGGTGTTTGTTTTACTAACTAAAGTCAACCTGGGCTGTGTGCAGCCAAGATGGGAAAACACGTTCTACAATCTTGTTTATATTTCTAGCATCATATGCAATAAATAATTAATAAATAATAATTAAAAAACAAAACAATATGATTAATCGATGTTAAACGTTGACATGAGGTAGTATAAAGCTGTGCACCACCAGCGTCAATGATGCGATGTCGTGAAAGTATAACTCACCACTTTCACCTGACATACACACTAAACACAAGGAAACGAAAAACAAACTAACAAACGTTGAGAACGAGTAGTAGTAGAAGACACAAAAATACTGTAAGCCTATCATCTAAAAGTGTCTCATTAGAAACGAAATTAATAGCAATCAGTGGTATTTCAAATACACATCCATGGTTACTATGGAAATTGTAAAATCAAATTCCGAGGGAGAATGACAGTTCATTTTGATACAACACTGTGTTGGAATGAAATCATTACCACATCGTATTGCACTGATATTGGACATCATTCTGTCCGATAAATCAATTTTGTGAGGGAAATAAGTGAAATTGACAAGAGGTACGTGTATAATCAACACCGGGACCGCCAAACCATGCGATTACCCTATGACATGGTGCAAAATGATGTACACCTAAAAGAAATCGACAGCGCATGACATCAGTTAAAATCGACATATTTTTTTTTAGGACAGCGTTCTAATTTATACATCATAAAACTAACAGTGAAATTGGGCACATGTATATACAGTGAGCTAAAATGGAGCTCCTTTTAAGCGTAAACCTTTGGTGTTGAAATGAATAATTAATACGACGCCAATGAGTTCACTCTTCAGAATAAGTCATTGCGTGACAGAAATATAAAAGTCAGAACTCGCCAAAAGATGGCTCATTTACATAACAATATATGGGTGGTTGCCTCCAATAATAGAACAAGTCATTGAAGAGTTTGATTGACAGTCACTTTTGTTTTTCTCGTAGTTGACGGAGTTCATATTTTTTTACGTCTGGTACTGAAGTACTTGCGCTGAAAGATTTGGGTGATGTGATGAGACTGTTGAATTCATTCTCAGAGCAGATAAACTCTTGTTATACCATTCGTCCTCGTGACTGACGTCATTCCTCATGGCTGTCATACCCATGTTTGACGTGGGTCCCATTGGAGAGAACTGAGCTACAGGGGCGTACGCCGATTGCATCTGTGGGTAACGGGGACTGACTGTGTTCACGTTATGTGGGTATTGGTAGCCACGGGACGAGGTAGTTTGGTAGATATTTCGCATCATTCCGTTACATGTCGGAATCACCGGCGAGAGAGACTTCGCCAACTGTTTTTCTTGTTTGCGGTATTTTGCTCGTCGATTTTGAAACCAGACCTGGAACGAAAAAGGGAAAATTTGATTAGTATATTTGAAGTTATATTCAGTTTCCAATGATATAAAGTGTTAATCCTGTGTTGGACACAACAGTGCAAATTCAGATTCGAAACAAATAATCCAAACTTGAGCGAGAGTATAAGATGCCCTCGTTGTGCTCGGTGCTTGCGCGCAATCATGCATGGCCGATGTCATTACCAGTCTCGTAGTTATTGTCGTAATAATGATCATTTGACAACAGTGACGTAAAATATGTCACTATTACACAGTTAAAAGAAATTGAAACCGTATGATGTGTTTAATGGCATTTGTAATTATAGTAGCAAATACAATGACAATTTCTGTATTAACTTAGCATGGCTTACGGCACTACATCACGAACGCTAATTACATGGACTAATTCACTTTTTAAAAAGTTACCCTTTCTTACAGAGAAACCAACTGAATAAGCCGTAGAAATATGTCAAGCCGTTTTTTTTTTATTTATTAATAATCACACAAGCCATCGATAAAATGTAATTTCCTACAGTTCTGGTATTCATCTAATAAATGGCTGCGTTATTATTAATAGAGGTGAACAATAAACGCACTCGGTTGCGAAACATTAAAGTTGAGAAAACGAGCTGACAATCACACGAGTTATCTCTGTTTCAATATCAGGACACAGACTGAAGTTTGTGAGATTCAGGCGCCTCCTCGAAAAATAAAACACATGGCGCTGAAATGTAGATGCCATTATATGTTGTATACATAAGTGATGGTATCTTCAATGCAAGTGCCGATAGAGAGGAGAGAGTGAAACGCTTTTAAACGGAGAAATGAGTGTTGAGGCAATGTAGCTGATAATTTGGCAGAAGAAAAAATGCAGAGATATTTTGGGAGAGGTTTTCATGCGTGAAAGTGGTAGCTAGAAGCCTGCGGGGGCTTGGTGCGTCGTCATTAGATGTACAGCGCGAGATCCATAACAACCGGGGCACAATTCACGGTGTTTCGCGCGCGATATATCGCCGATGCAATCAACATACCGTTAGCCCGGACGCGACCCACAATGATTACTGTTATTTGCCGTTCTCTACTTCGAACATACACTACTTAATCAGTAATCCTATTTGATGACTTTGATAAATAGTAAAAACCCATTGTAAAGTGTGGTTGACACAGCCAATTATACGTGTTGAAACATATTTGGCTGAAAACTTCAAATTTACGGATGAAATCACATTTACAAGGATTAGAGAAAATAAATTCATATATTTCAGAATATATTTTCCACCCAGTAGATGTCAATATCTAACAGAAACGCGCTAATACTGTTTTTCTCACCATAAAAATTCGTATCAGTATTATTTTTTTTTTTTAAATGTGAAAAACGTGTAACATTCGTAATGCGTAAATTTTCGTCGTGATGCTATTTATTTTCACTATTATCTTAGCAATTCGGAATAGTTTAGCGAACTTATAAAATGAGTCACGAGAGTCAAAATAATGTATAAGCCCGTGGTGGTACGCCGCACAGTTCACAAGTAATCGAAGAGAAACCTCGTCACTCACTCAAGCTCGGAGCTTCTGAAAATGTAAGAACCTGTTTTTTTTAAAAGGATGCGAAGCGTTGGAGCTTTTGTCTTTGACCAAACAATTGTAGGACTTTGATTTAAACGAGGGCTGGCATATGGTGATGAGAAAGACGGTTACACGAACCTAACCGCTGTCACATTGGACTCTCAAATCCCCATTGAATACATGGCACATCTCAACATCGGGTTGTCAAAGTCTTATAAATTCTCCTCTTTTTTCCCTCTGTCTTGTTTCCCGGGTGACGGATGTCATCAGCAGCTCGGTAGTTACTGATACAAGTCCACTGTATACCTTGGCTCATTCATATTTAACGCCTAGAATCACACGGGTAATTATTATTAATACAATAACAAGGGCCCGAATGACTCTTTGGCACGATGTCAGGGGTAATGCCGGACACGGTAGTGTCTATCGCTTCTGACAGTAGGAACTCAATGGCATTAATGGTAAATTCCAAATGGATAAAAGACGCAATTGTGTTATCACGTTTTTACAATGAGATAGTGCGGATACAGATATTGATACGTACAAGTGGTCTCTGTGTTCACACACAATTGGCTGTCATGGTGTAATACAACAAGCACTAATAACTGATATTAGATTAAAGATAAGATAAATCGCGACTAGTGAATATGAAATGAACACTGCACATGCTTAGTCGATTTCGACATTGTACTTTAATTGTCGCCTTGTTTCCCGCACGCTGATCCCCCTTGTTATACACAACTTTAAACACTCGAATTTTACACAACGTCGATTCCGCTATTGGGTTGTTAAAAATGCATGGATTTTCCAGGCTATTTTAAAGGCTCAACAAAACTCAGTGCAATACGATTTGAACAAAAAAAATCAACAGAAACCCGGCCTGGTGTATCAGGACAATTCGACTAGATTTCGGAGTATTTAATAAAAAGAAGGAAAATCAACAGATTTTGTATGGAACCAAGCGTAGTGTCTGCCTAATGGAAACTATTGATGGCCACACAAAAGAAACGGGTCTCAAAGCGACCAGGACTTGCACCATTACGGCTCTCTTTGTTCTTGGCTATTTGGGCGCTCGCCGAGTCTTGTTTGCAACGCTGCTTTGCCACACGACATAGCGATCAACTATTTACACTTAGTAGTAAATACAGTCGGCGGAACGTATTATTATGCATTTTGGACGGTTGTATCCGGCTTTCAATCAAGAAAACTACTGCTATGACTACAACTTCGTCACGACTTGCTGTCAGTAAAGTTGAAAGATTATTCTCTATATACTCTAGTGTAAAAAGTCTTTGAGCAGCCTGCCATTATTTATACATACTTGCTCTTGATTAAATTATAGCAGCAATTGAATCTTACTGCACCTCATTCATAGCCCTATTAACACTTTCGAAATCTCAGTATTAAAAAAACGTTAACAACGTAGACCTGGCACCTGAACACTTCTAAACATTCAGTCATTGCATTTTTTAAGTAGGTTAGCCACTTTTTTTATAGTAAAGGTCGGAGGCTTCTCACGTTTTTATTATTATGAGTTACTTAAAACCGAAAGAGAAGGTGACGTCCTCTCATGTCGCGTGTCGATCTTTCAGAGCGGATGCGATTCAACAATCGCAAACTGTCCGAGTCGATCACAGTTTGACATCATCCGTCATTTAGTACAGAGAATTAGTATGCGCTTCCAACTTTTCTAGTGATAATATTGATCTAACAACAGAGTAACTAAAGGTTAATATTTTCGCACAACTACCGCAATTCCAATGACATCGCATAGAGTGCATTTGGCGAACAAGTTTCATGATTGCGGAAGGTGTGTATAGGGGTCGCTCATTCGAAAAAAAAAATCAAATCAACTTGCGCGGTCGATCATAATCGGACTGAATACGAAGTGGTTACTGTCTACCGCGTCTGTGGTAGACTTGTGATTTTTTGGGGGTCAGAATCGCTGCGTAACAAAAGTAGAGAAAAGTTTAAAGGGCGGCAGTCGTCGCGCCGCGTCCTGTTTGATATGGGACTCATAGCGACGTATACAACGCGTGTAAACTACATTGTTTATTTACATGAAATTCAAACACGCGCTGCGCGACGACCTACCGCGCTTTAAATGTACAGAGTTACAAATTGATACCCAAGCCAGCAGTACGTGTCGTGGATAGGAGATGTATAAAAGGAATATGCAGTACTCTCCGAACTACCAAGCGGAAAAGCTTTTTAAAAACACTCCATTAGCCCGTCTTCCGAAAGTCTGGGAGAGAGTTGAAAATGTCGTCGTTGGGGACCCGTATTTACACTGTACAAAGGGTGACATGTCAGAATTAAAAGCTTCGTTATCAGGGGCACCCTCCCCTTCAATTATGCAAATAAAAGGATCGGGAACTGAAACGCGTGAGCGGGAGGTAGCAAGCGAAATAATCATAGTGAAAACGATAGCCCAGTGTTTTGCCATCCACTGCGATACATCACAGTTTAGCGAACTCGTGCCCGCTATTTTTTGACGAAACATTTAGATAAAACCCTTGAGAATACAGTCGGCAAATGAAGACTGACAGTTCGCTAATAGACCTAGTCTCTGTTCAGTTTTCCTTCAAATTACCGCTGTGCCACCCTCGTCAGCTGCATTCAGACTTTCATCAGACTATTAGTCATAAAATACTACAATTATCCCCCAAGGCCCCCATGTCGAATATTAAGCAAGTCTTAAACAAATATTAAGCAAAGACAGTGACACCAGTACAAGTACGACCAAACATCTCATCGTTACCGACATCAACGGAGGAACAGCAACAAGCAAGCACGTCAGTCGTGACAACAACCGACACAAACCGTCAATATCAGTATCCCGATGATGAAGAGTCGCCGAGTAACGCTATTTAATTTACCAGCAAAGCCAATTCATTAAGCGCTAGTTCGTTTATCGAGCCCGGTTAAACGGCCTATTCTGCTAATTCCGCCCAAAAGAATTGCAATAGATTTTATAGGCGTTGATTTGGTTAGGTTCGCTAAGCCTCTGTATAAGCTATGTAAGTCCAGGGAAATGGAGTGGGCCAATTGATTTATCTATATTAGGTCTGTACACTGCACTTCTTCGTGGGGTGGGTCTCATTCGCCGCATTGCGCTCTGAATAGATCACATTTAAAACTTTCTGATGCACAAAAATTGATACAACCGTATTTCAACCTGACAGATACCGATATAGCACGAAAGCTTTGATTACCGCTTACTAGTTCTGTAGTATATATTTATACTCAGTCTTTGCGATATATATGTAAGGACCTTTTAACCAGTGTATACCAATTAATGTTTAAAGACAATATCTCGTTTTTATAAAATTGAAAAACTGCGTGGTTTCTTGGAGTAAAATGAGTATTTCGTTTCCTCTTGATTTACGATGACAATATGAAGACCTCTTCGATTCAATCTGTGACAGGCACGCAATTAG